AGAAAATGGTTTGAAAATGATGGTGGCTGCAGTTGTACAATTATGCTCGATCTAATTGAAGGATCCATTGTTATAATATATGTAAGAGCTCCCAATAAAATGATTAAAAAAGAAGAAAACAAGTATTATTAATTGGGAGTTAATGCCAGTTCATTCCATAGTTCAATCACATCAAGTAGAATTGTACAATTGCTACCACAATCAGTTTCCAGATATTCTTTTTCTACATGGACTCCTTGACATCGGCTCCCTTTTACTATGCCCCGCCCCACTGTACCACACTCCCCCCGAAACCCTTGTTCTACTTGCTGTTCCTATGGGTGCATCAGTCCTGGGTTTCATATACCGAAAAACAGAAAATCATGTCACACAACTTCAAGAGGGTGACCTCCAATGACATCACACCTCTGAGATAGACTCTAATGTGAACAAACAAAAACCAAACCAAGCAATACAAACTGAAAAAGCAGAAAATTCTGAAAACCAGATCGGGCCTAGCCTACATCAAAGGTTTAACCGTTCAAGCCAAATTGATGCCACTGACCTTCTGACTCTGTTTTTTAAGGTACAATAGAGCAGACCACAGTATCTACCCAGAGGTGCATTCTGGGAAAAGATGACTAATTACTTTCGTGTGGACACATTCTAGACTTAAATTGGATTACTGCTATTACCTGATGAGCCTGGTTTCTTCTGGAAGGTTACTTCTCAAGCACACTCGAAAAGACACTTATTTTGGTAGTTCTTAAGGTTGTTTATTGCTCTCAAACAGTAATTTATGAGTAAAAATTACTTATATTCCATAAACATTCCATAATGTATATTTCTTACCTATCATGTTGGTCCTTTCCTTACCCAGAAATGCACGGCTGCTAACAATGCAAAGTGGGAATTAGAAAAGGTTAAGTAGGGAAAAGTAGGGGAAAAACCCTAACCTCCAGGATTGACAATACACCACAAGGTGCTGGCCAGCTGTACTTAACTCTGGCAAGAGTATTCCAATAGTTTATTGGAAATAGTTCCTGTGTCAGGTGGAAAGAGGCCTGGCTGCTAACCTCCAGGTTAGCCGCTGAGACTCACCAGTTGCCCCGCAGGAGAAGGATGAGGCTGTTTGCTTCTATAAAGATTTACAGCCCAGGAAACCCAAAGGGGGGAGTTCTGCTTTACCATATAGGGTCGCTAGATGTCAGAATTGACCTGATGGCAGCAGATTGGGTTTTGATTGATGTAGGACATATTAGGAGCAGGGAGGCTTAGTGTTAAGTCTGTGAATCCCAGCCTAAAGCACAGTAACTGTCTGTAGTCACAGAGCGGCCACAAGTGTATTAAAGGCTGAAAGGAGGAGACATATAGGCAGGCCCGGGCCCCAGGCTCCGTGCAGTAATAATCTTACAAACAGCACTTGCCCCATCATTAATGAGAAATTTGCTTATCATAATTCTTTCAAGTCTTAAATATAGGAAAGAATAACTTCCACACCTTATGTTTGTCTTGGATAATTTGCTGTTATCTATTACATGTTGTTAGGTACTGTTGAGTCTAATAGAGCAATTATGCACTGAAAGCTATACTGGAGATTATATTTAGGAATACATCAATTTTCAGTAAATCAGATTTTAGAAGACTTAGTCTTCGAAAGGTTCTAGGACAAATTTGATAATTCTTGGCAAAAATAGAAGGTTATGTATTTTTTTTCAACTTAAATAGACCCGGCTTTCAAAGTACATTTGCATTCTAATGTTTACAAACTCACTAGTTTTAATTAATTTTTAAGGTGCTGATGACGTTTTTTGTGCTAAAATATGGGTATTTTTAAGACTGCATTAAAAAGAAGTTTTTCATATCTGATTTGTACATTGTTTCTACTTTTGACACACTGGTATCAGCCTCCAATAACAAAGACTAGTATCATTGGCAGTATACAAAAATCATATTATTGTACAAACGATGCTAGAAAGCATTTCTCTTACTCTCTTTGAAGTGAATCCAACTTAAAGCGATAGGATTGTCTTTTCCTCTCTCACCCAGCAGTTTTTTCATGTTCCAGTTCATGACAGTAACTTCAGGTTTTCCAGTTACGTAACCGTTCTGCCCTCCTTCTCTGAGACGTTCTTCCTCCTGTACCACCAAATCACTGTCCCCTAAGGTTCCCATCTGATCTTTCTAGCTGCTGCTATGACTTTGATCTCATATAGCTAGTTCGTAAAAGAGCTGAATGCTGAAAGGAAGACTTTTCTTGGGAGCGTTTTAGTTTACGAAGGTAAAAGCTTACAGAGCAAATTGATTTCCCACTCAACGATGTATCCCTGGTTTCCTGACATTGGCTGCAATCTCTTCAGTGTGTTAACGTTCTCCCTGCTTTCGTCCTGGTTCCTGGCTTCCTTTGCCCGGCTTTCCTGCCCATTCTGGCCTTCCACATTTTGCTTTTGGGCAAATGCTTCCCTCTGGCTGTTTAATCATCCCGAGGAGCATGCTTCTCACAGGTATTACTGTGCATTTCCGAGGCGTGTCCATTGTTTGGCTATAAGGTGGTCCCTAGTTGTGGGTTAGTTCTGCATTTGAAGAGCCTTAAGGGCTCCACCAGTCTCTATCAGATCAGTCTGTGTGCGTTTCTTATGAATGTGAGTTTTATTCTACATTTTCTCTCTCACTTCGTCTAGAACCTTCTATTGGGATTCTGGTCAGAGCTGTTGGGAGGGGTAGCTGGGCACCATCTAGTTCTCTGGCCTCAGACTGCTGGAGGCTGTGGTTGACCCGGTGCTTGTAGTCCATTGCTTCTTAGAATCAACTGTTTCCTTGGGTCTTTGATTTGTCTTCACTCTGCTTTACTCTGGATGGGAAGAGACCAGGCGTTGCAGCCTGAGTTTTGAAGACTCCATTCCCTGCTCACCATAGTAGAACAAGGAACTTCGCCTTTATGGATGATTTCATAGTGCTTACTTTGTTTTACTACTTAGCTAAACAGTTGTTTGGTTTGAAGACTTCAGGAAATATTTTTGGTTTAAGATTTATCTTAGGGCAATCGTTTCAAGGGCTCACCAACCTTCATAGTTCAAGGAAGTCTGGATGACAGGAGAATTTGGAATTCTGCTCTACATTTATTTCCATTTATCAGGATTCTTCTGTGGCATCGGAGCAAAATGTTCGGCAAGGCTAGTCGGGCACCACCCAGTTCTGGTCTCTTGGCAAAGGAGGCAGTTATTCAGAGCCAATTAGTCACACATTCCACACCCTCCTGTGCCTGACTCTCCTTCTGCTCTTGTTCCAGTTGGACAGAGACCCCTTGTTGTGCCTTGGATGGTCACTCACACATTAAACAATGCTCATATTTACTTGTTTATTTACACATACTCACAAGGGGGCTTCAAAAAGTTCATAGAATCAGAATAACTCACATAGTTTTGAGTTGTATAGAAGCAGCCTCCATGGCTACTCTTGTAGTTGTTTTGTTGTTGCTCTATCTATCACACAACTTTTTCCAGTTCAACTTTTTATAGGTGGACAACTTATCGACAGCAATGTCAATGATCAGTGGTGCAACGCTACCCTAAATCACGGCAACATTTCTGTCACTGTTAATCCCTGCCCCCCTTTCCCTCTCGTGCCCCTGATGACCTCTACAAACTTGATTGTATCCTTTCCTTTTCATTTAATTTTATATAAATACTCCCCTCAGCACGGTGGCTTTCAGTTCCTTCCCTATGGGAGCATACATCAAAACTTCAGTTCTTCTGCGACTGCGTGGTCTTCCATTGGATGTATGTGTGAACCACCTTTTCTTGATCCACTAATCTGTGGATGAGCATGGCTGTCATGAACACTGGTGTACAGGCCTCTGCATTTTTGGTATATGCTTAGAAGTGGAATTGCTAGGTCACATGGTCGTTTTGTTTTTAAGTGTTTGAGGGACCACCACACTGTTTCCCACAGAGGTTGTACCATGTTCATTCCCATCAGCAGTGGATAAAGGTTCCAGTTTCCCCAGATCCTTGTCAACATCTGTGACTTCAACTTCTCTCTCCCTCTCTGTGTTTGTTTAATCTTAGCCATTCTAAACCCAACCCAACCCAACGCATTGCCACTGAAGCAGTACCTCATATGGTTTGGATTCCTCTTCCCCTGACTGCTGTGATGCTGAGCATTTCCTCGGTTTTGGTCGCCTTTTGAAAGTCCTCCCTGGTAGCATGTCTGTTGCAGTCTTTTGATGAACAAAATTTTTTAACTTTTGTGTGGTCCCATTTGTTTTGTCTTTTTCTGTTTGTTCTTTTGCCATTGTCTGAGGGGTTTCAAATAGTTTGTGGAAAAATCCCACTATCTTTTAGTTCAATTTTCCACAAGCTTTTTGAAGCCCCCTTGTGTTGGAAAAATCTCTTCCTAAAAGAGAGGTCTGACCATGTTGTCACTACTTTTGCTTCTCAAAATTTTATGCTTTTAGTTTTCATAAGAGTGGTTTTGTGGAAATAGTTTATTGAAATAGCTTTTGAAGTTTATGTACAACGTCTCATGTGTCTTTAGTAGAGACCATCATTTGAAGTTTTGTCTGTTATTTTCTGTAACTCGAATTATTAACCAGTTAAATTAGGATAGATACTACCCAGTTGCTTCAGTTTCTTTAGACAACTTATCTTTCAGGAAGGGTGAAATGGCTTTAGAGTCCAATGTGAAGAAACAATCCATTTGTCATCCCATAGGGGCCTTTTGGAGTGCCCCTTCCTCGTGTACTCTGGGCAGAGAATGATCAACTATCTTTGCTTTTGTGCACACATAGAATAGATATTCACTATACCTGAGAAATAACAATGGCCACCTGAGAGGAGGAATGATGTTCCATTGATCAAAGCCCCTTGGTGGTGGTGACTCCAGACTCGTCCTGCTGCCAGGCCAGCTCCTGTGTCATCCTTGGAACAGGAGGATTAGAGAACTTGTGGACACATTTTAAAACTCCCATGTCAGGGCTTTCATTTGAGCAGTGTGCTCCGTCTTGGGCTTGGATCTCAGCTCGTGAGCTGGAATGGCTTCTTTAACTCCTCCGAGCCCAGCTTTCCTTAGCTTGAAATTGGTGTTAATCAGAGAACCCACCTGAAGGAGTGTGGTAGGGTAAAATGATAAAACACATGCACACTTCTCTAGTCCCCTGAAAACTGTTCACACTTCTCATCCTATTAACACTAGTGGTAGGCAGTCTATTATTAAGAGCATTAATAGAAATAGCAACACCATCTTTACTAAAACTATGATGGAGCTAGGTGAGATGCAAGAAGCGAGCATCTTAGTGAGACTAGACCTTGAGGGAGTGTGGGAAGAAGAAACATCTTTGCCCGTTTGGCTGACTCAAACAAGGGCAGGCAGGGACGAGAAAGATCTGCTTGTGTCCTGACCCACAGTAACTGTTTGTGAGGATGACTTTGCACTTGCAATGGGTCGTGGCAAGGAGACAGCTGCTGACTAAGAGCTGTGGGGTGTGAGCCCTGCATTCCAGGAACCTTCATGTTCAATCATTACATGGAAAAAAAAACCAATTGTTAGAATTTGGAATTACCTGTGAGTAGCCAATTTTCAACACTGTAATTACTGTCGATGATTCTACGCTTTCATGTTTTCCTGTCTAACATATAACTAGAACCATTTTGAAGTAAAAGAATGAGACTTTGCTATATCTGATTTTCTTCTGTCTTTCTTTTTTTTTCTCCCCTCCCCCAGCTCCCTCTGAACAGTGGAAATGAGATATATGAGCTACATGTCACCGGTCGCGCCGAGGATGAGATTCTGTTCTCTAACAGGACGCTCCTGTCATTTGAGACCAAGAGAATGTCTGTCTTCATCCAAACAGACAAGCCCCTGTACAAGCCAAAGCAAGAAGTGAAGTTCCGTGTTGTTACACTCTTCTCAGATTTCAAGCCTTACCAAACCTCTTTAAACATTGTAATTAAGGTAAGTTCCAGACAGACATCAAACAAGGAGTTCAAGTCCTCTTATTGGAGCTCTCGTGGAAACTTGCTTATATTATTGCTACTGGAGGACCTTCGAACTCAGGCTAAGTCAGCCTCCCTTCCTAGATGGGAGTCCTCTGTAGAGGGGGAGGTGGAGCATCGTGGTGAAGGGCTTGGCTTCCTAAGGTGGCATATTTGAGTTCCAATTCTGAAGTCTTCTCTGACTTATTCATTTGTGAAATATCGACTGAATTTCTATGCTCCAGGCACCAGAGATGGGTGTGAACAGAGCAGATTAAGTTCCTGCTCATATCACGCTTGTATTTCAGTGAGTAGCGGGGAGAAAATGAACACACAAATATGAGCAGATATACGAGGGGGAGTCAAAAAGTTCGTGGAAAACTCCATTTATGTTTTAATCCAATTTTTTATGAACTTTTTGAAGCCCCCTCGATAGGTATCCTATAAGTATATATATCATTTGTACACACAGATATAATTAATATGAAGAAGAAGCTAAAGTGAAGTAAAAGTATATGTGTATATGCTTTTATGTATGTATATGTGATAGAATTTGTTTCTGGCTTAAACACACACACACACACACACACACACACACACAAGAGCTGTATGAGCCCACAATAAAATGATTAAAAAAAACAAAAACAAACAAAAACACACACACAACAAGAAATACAGAGGTGAACTTCTAGGCAGGTGTAAAGCCTTTAAGAGGTGGACAGCATAATTGTTCGTGGTCTCTTTTAGAGGTACAACCTTTCCTTTACTTGACAACTTTCATCAACAGTTCTTATAGTAGGAAGTGGAACACAGAGAAGGAGTAAAACAGACCATATTCATGTTTACAGTGTTAAAGAGGTCTTAAGTTTTGACTTTTTTAAGTGCTCAAAACATGGATATTTTTGAATTACAGATCACAGTAACTTTAAAAATGATTGGGATCCATGTATTAACATCATTTAAGAGGCTCTTGGAAATATACTTAAAGATAAGATGAATCCTTTTTGGATCTGCTTGTCCTTTTAGGGCATTGAGGACCCTCTGCATGTGTTGCACTAGGACTGTAGCCAGAGCAGCTGTAGCTTGAGTGGATGACAAGGTCACAGTTCTCCAATAGTTCTCCAGTCCTTGGCAAACATCTTGTTAAGCCAAGATGTGAAGACATTTTGTGTTCTAAGTTGAGGATCTTGGTTATTACTTCCTGTCGATATAGTTAGTATCAGTGGGGTCCTTTATTGGCAGTTTGTCTTGGCCATGCCTTCTGCTTGTAAAACAACCATTGACAGTGGATCCAAAAGCTATTTCCACGAATTCAAGGAATGCCATCTGAATCAATAACAAAGTCAAAGGTATAGGAGTTTCTGGGCTTTCTTGAAAATAGACATACCACTCCTGAGATTTCTTAGCAGTGACATTCTTATTCTCTTCTCTTCTGCAAAAACAAATAAAAGAGTTTGTTTTAAGAGCAAATTGTCATTGGTACAGAACTATTCTGAATGAACCCACACATCAGGGAATGCTGGGTCTCTCTTTAAGCGCTTTCTTCCTCTCCAACAGCATTTACCTACTCTCTATCAGTAGTCTCATCACAGCTGAGGGTTGTTTGGTCAGACAATTGACAGCCAAAGTGGACAAGGTCTTCAATAAAAGCTAACGAACAAAAGGGACCTTCTCACCAGGCACTCAAACCCACGTAGGGCCGTTTCTTTTTTCTGGATGTTTTTAGAAACATCTTGTTGGCCTCTTGAAGGGCTTCTGATCCTCTGTAACCTGTGACGCCGAGCAGCTCCTCTTCCAGAGAGTCAGAGCTGTCTTCTCAGACAGTGAATTCCTTGCTCTCATCTGGGGCTGTGATCTGTCCTGGCTGCTCCACACAGCAGGGCCCATCGACAAGGTCTCCCTGCCTCACTGTTGGTCTTATTTTCCTCTGCTGGCTTTTCCTTCCCGAGCTGTGTGGGATATGGGACAGGAGAGGCTTGCGGATGGCTTCTGGATCATGCTTTCGACCTCTATCTGCAGAAGGCCACTCTTGCCAGGCACATGTTCATATGTAGGTCATTGCTCTCCTAATACAGTTTAGACAGTTCAGACACTTCAGACATGGCTCAATATGCTTGCAAAGCATTTTCAGAGAGATGGGAGATCGGAATGCTTGCTTTTTTCTATAGCAGGAAGATCTCTGTATTAGTCTGGGTAGATTAGAGAAACAAATCCAGAGACATTCATGTGTAAGAGAGAACTTTATATCAAAGTGCAATTGTACATTAAGAAATCATCCCAGCCCAGTCCAGATCAAGCCCATAAGTCTGATATTACCCCCTGGGTCAATACTAGTCCATAAATTCCTCTTTAGACTCATGCAGCCATGCAATGATGCTGAATGGAGGAAGATCACAGGCCAGTGATCTTGAGGACCCAGTGGTGGAGTAAGCATCTCAGAACTGATGTGGCTTCTCCAATTCCAGGGCTTGGGCTGTATCAGTGTAGCTCCATGTGGCTTGTCAGCAGGAAGACGAAGCAGGAAGAGTCTCCCGTCTTCAGGGAGGAACACAGGGGTTCCCAGAATCCTCAGGAGAAAGCCATAATCACACGGAGGAGGCCTCATTGGATATGGCCTGATTGCCAGGCTAAACCCCACCCTGTCGCAAGTTGACAAAAGATGATGTAACTACCATAATCTCTATGTCCAGGGGAGACCTATCTGAGCAGAGACGGAAAGGAAATAGAAGAGTCTATGTATACAGAGAAAACAGTATGTGCAAAGGCTCTGAGATGGGAGTTTGGTGCATTGAAGAACCTCGGGCTAGTCAGTGTGCGGAAGCCCAGGGGGTCAGGGGACAAAGATGGGAAGGCCAGGGAGGCTGTTTGAGAGGTGGTCTGTACAGGACTTTGGAAACTACTCTGAGTGAAATGATGAGTCTCTGAAGAATTCTGAGGGGAGGCATGACATGATCTGTCTTAATATTTGAAAAAGAATCCCTCTGTATTCTCAGAGAATAGATTGTAACTGTATAGCCTTGGGCAAACTTACCTTCCAAGCTGTGGTTTCCTCAACTGTAAATGTGTGCTAATGATAGCGCCCACCCCCTCTCGAGGGGGACCAATAGCAGAGTGGCAGGTGACCAGATCCATGGGATGGTGTAAGATATGAGGGGTGGGGAAGGAATAGCAATATTAATAATATTTAATATAATAAAAAGGGTTCTTGTGGGGGTAGGGTGGGATAAAGGGGAGCTGATAGCAAAGAGTGCAAGAAGAAAGAAAATGTTTTGAAAATGATGGTGGTAATGATTGTACAATCATGCTTGATCTAATTGAACTGTGGATTGCTATAATATCCGCAAGAGCTCCCAATAAAATGGAAGAAATAAGATAAAATAGAATTAACTTGCTTGTAAATAATAATGATAATAATAATAATAATAATAATAATAATAATAATAATGCCTACATATAGCCTCCTCCCTGGGGGATGGACAATAGAAAAGTGGTGAAGGGAGATGTCGGACAGAGCAAGATATGACAAAATAAACAATTTATAAATTATCAAGGGTTCATGAGGGAGGGGGGAGCAGGGAGAGAGGGGAGAAAATGAGCTGATGCCACGGGCTTAAGTGGAGAGCAAATGTTTTGAGAATGATGAGGGCAATGAATGTACGGATGTGCTTTACACAGTTAATGTATGTATGGATTGTGATAAGAGTTGTATGAGCTCCTAATAAAATGATTAAAAAAAAAATTGTGATGAGTTGTATGAGCCCCTAATAAAACGATTAAAAAAATAATAGTGCCTCACAAAGTTATTGTGAGGATTAAGTGAAATGATTGAAGTAGAGCATTCTGAACTCAGCATGGCACATACTGCCGGTAGGTCAATCATTAGCTACTACAGTTATTAGAGGGACTCCTTTGACAGGTAGCCATTTGGCTTCTGTTGCTTTCAGACTACCCTGACTTGGGTGTAGAACATTACAGATACCGTATATATTTGAGTATAAGCCGACCTGAATATCAGCCAAGGCATCTCATTTTACCACAAAAACTGCATAGGGTGCAGTACAGCACTGGTTCACATCAGAGCTGGAAACACAGGGAATCCAGGACAGATAAACCTCTCGGGACCAATAATGAGAGTAGAGATACGGGGAGGGTAAGGGGAAGGTGGGGGAGAACAGGGGAATTGATCGCAATGATCTACGTGTAACCCCCTCCCTGGGGGACAGATAACAGAGAAGTAGGTGAAGGGAGACATTGGACAGTGTAAGACATGCCAAAATAATAATAATCTATAAATTATCAAGGGTTCATGAGGGAGGGGAAAAGTGAGGAGCTGATACCAAGGGCTCAAGTAGAAAGCAAATGTTTTGAGAATGATGATGGCAACAAATGTACAAATGTGCTTGCACAATGGATGGATGGATGGATTGTGATAAGAGTTGTATGAGCACCCAATAAAATGATTTTAAAAAAAAGAAGAAAAAAGATTATTAAAAAATATGCTGAAAAACTCAGCTTATACACGAGTATATAAGTACTTTCCTTTGAAAATCAAGTTTAAGATCACTGAGATATAGCTGTGCCTGGTTTTTTGTATTTAAGCCTAGGTAAATTCTAGAGCGGGATGACCAACTTTTCCGTTTGACTCCTCTGGCTTTAAAGTGGAAAGTTTGTGTTCTGGTAAACCCTTTAGTCCCAAGAGTCACTCTAAATCCGGTGGGGAACGCGCAGCCCTTGGCTGTGTAAGGCCCGAGAAATCGTCGTTACCAGCTCACATCGCCTGCCTCACCAAAGAGAAGCAGTTCCAGCCATCACTTTAGGGGTGCCTTGATGAAATGTTGGACTAGCATCTCCCGTGAATGATGTTAGAAATAGCTAAATGGGCTTTGGCCACAATAAATTCCCTACCCTTGCAGTCAGTGTTCCTGTCATGTGGACCTTAAGTCAGGCGTTTCTCTTCAGCATTTCCCTCTGGTTTTTAGGTTCTTTATTGTGCTACTTTAACCAGAGAGCCAAGCAAGCAAACATGTAGCTTGTCTTGCATCGTGCGCAGTGAATAACACTTGAACTAGCATTTTTTTCAGTTTCAGCTCTGCGATTGTCTGCTTTTGTTAGGTGTTGAAATGTTTATAAAGTGGTTGACATAGTGCATAAAATTTCTAAATTCATATTCTCTGAGCACATGTTTTACCCACATATACTGACCACTTTATGCCGGAAACTGCGCAGGAAACAGGATTTCGCAGTGAGCATCTGGCCTTTGACATTCAACCTGCCCCTTTCTACCTCATGCACTAATATGCGAGTCCTCAGTGGATAAATTGCTGGCTCCAGGCATTAACTCATAACCCACCCTGCGGATACTGGCGCGCAGGCTTGTTCGTTCTTTACTTTTGTTTCTCATTCTGCTATAGTTCACTTGAAACTTTGATTTATAGATTCATTGGCCCTTCGCTCCAACTTTGGACGTAGTTTGCCCCAACCAGAGACTCAGGTTCCCTGAGAAGCTCAGAGAGACCCCGGGCCCGGGGTGGGGAATTTAGACTTTCCATCAGGAACCCAATGAATTTGGGAACAGTGCAGACTGGGCGGCATTATTCCACTCTCCGCACCTAGGCCCTGAGGCTCCGAAAAGACCCAGGTGATCTGCAGCTGGCTTCTGCAGCGCTGACGCGCCTTCATGTGAAAGGGTTCACTAGGCTTCGATATTTTCTGCATCTTGCAGCGCGGAATAATTTCTTGCAATTATTCTTCCCAGAAAAAAAGTGAGGCGTGGTTTAACAAGTGTCCCAGGCTGGGATTGAGTGGAACGCCAGGGTGTGGTGTAGCACCACCTGCAGGCGAATATGAGGTAGTACGCATGAGCGCTCCAAAGCTCACTTTTGGGGACCATCCAGCTAAGGGTAGCTAAGATACTGACCATTGTATTCAGGGATGTTCTTTGCTTATTGAGGGTATCATTGGGTATTATGCATTTTGCATGCCCCATTAACTGACCTTTTTAGGAAGGAATGGGGTTTCAGAGGCCTCCCAGCAGGGCCTGTCTTTGTTAGCCTTATTCTGGTCTTGCCCAGCCAGTGGGATGGACGCTCTGGAAAGAAGCACCTCTGACGTCATGATGGCAGCTAGCGTGGCTGGCTTCTTTAGGAAATATTTCCTGGTAGAGAAGACCAACCTTGTATGGGAACAGGGTGTACCTGGCCCAGCGTGTCCCGTGTTTGTGTCCTAATCGTTCTGATGGGAGCAGTTAGGGGAAACCCAGACAGACCCTCACTTTGCTTAGGTGATTGGACTTCTCTGAATCTACTTGCTGAACAGACACTTTGCACAAACTCCAGGCCTCTGGAGTGTTCCAGAAGTACTCCTTGCAGACAAGTTTTCAAGCCTTTTACACTGTGTGCTGTGTGGAGACACTGGATAGAGACTCAGAGCCACCCTGAGGTGACCCAGAGGGCAGCAGGGGCCACTATCCCAGTGTCTTGTGCTTGTACATCTGTAACATTTTACCCGGTTGTACCCTGTGCATCCCAGCAAGAGGTGACCACACGACTTTGCCGGACTCTGCGGTGATGCTCTGTGTCCCTTCCAACCCCGTGTGTGTGTCTCTGTCAAGACTCCTGGTGTTTCTGCTTGCTCTATGTCCTCGCACTGGTGGTGCTCGGGCTTGGGGTCAAGACAGGTTTGGGATAACAGAGGACTACTTCAATGCCCCAGGCCCTCCAAGGGCAAAGTCGTTGAAGGCTTCTTGGAGGCTTCTGGTGTTCTTCGTGTGCAGACACCATCTTGACAAAGGCATCCCAAAACAGTGTAGCAACAGAACATTGCTTCCCTTACACTTTAGGTAATACTGAGAGTTATTGCTGTTGTCTTAAGAACTGTCATTCTGCAATGTCAGTGAGGGGGAGTGCGGAGTGGAGACCCAAAGCCCATCTGTAGACAGTTGGACATCCCCTTACAGAAGGGTCACAAGGGAAGAGACGAGCCAGTCAGAGTGTAATGTATCACCAATGAAACATACAACTTTCCTCTAGTTCTTGAATGCTGCCTCCTCCTCCCCACTATCATGACCCCTGTTCTACCTTACAAATCCAGCTAGACTGGAGCATGTACACTGGTACAGATAAGAGCTGGAAACACAGGGAATCCAGGACAGATAAACCCCTCAGGACCAATAATGAGAGTAGTGTTACCAAGAGGGTAAGGGAGAACTGATCACAATGATCTACATATAACTCCTTCCCACGGGGAAGGACAACAGAAAAGTGGATGAAGGGAGACATCGGTCAGTGTAATACACGACAAAATAATAATAATTTATAAATTATCAAGGGTTCATGAGGGAGGGAGGGGGAAATGAGCTGATACCAACGACTCAAATAGAAAGAAAATGTTTTGAGAATGATGAGGGCAGCAAATGTACAAATGTGCTTGACACAATGGATGCATGTATGGATTGTGATAAGAGCTGTAAAATGATTAAACTCCCCCTGTCATTTTGAGAGAAGAAAAATGGAATTTCATTGTTTTAATTTGTACTTTGTGAATTATTACATAGGCTAAACATTTTATAAACTTCTTAGCTATTTGTATAGCTTCCTCTGCTCTCATCTCTCAACTCCACATCCTCCTATGCATTCTGCGGTGGCAGGTGCTCCAGAGCCCACGCCAAGGTTCCAGTGGTCACCGTGGGAGTTTGCTAGTAGGAACCCGCTCATTCTTGAATTGGTGATGGCCTTTGCTTTTAACGATTAGTTTCTGGCTTACTGGACTACTCCTGTCTTGTGCTCTCTCAGCCCTCACTTTCACGCTCTTGCCTACTCTGGGAGAGTTTTCTCCTGCCTTCTAAGAACTGGGACAACTCACTGCCTCTGCCTAACATACGCAAAATAAGAGCGAGAGAACGCATCTGCTCTCTGCTCTCAGGAGTCCACATTCTACTGGGAACAAAACCCACATAGCCAGGGAGTGTTCCCATGCTTCTTTGATGGGTACTCACGGGAGCCTCGCTCCAGCGATGCCAGAGATTCCCCAGATTAGTCAACTCTGCCTGTGTATACAAGACATGTGCAGAAGGCAAGGAGTTGGAACTTAGTTCACTGGTTGGATAAGGAAGGAGGACATTTCATGCAGCCATTGCAGAAACCCATGTACTTGGGCTTTACAGGTGGGAACTGCAGAAAAGTGTGTGTGCATGGAGGAAAGTGCACTTAGAAATGTAAATGGAGCTAGAATAGTAAGGACCGAGTAAACCCTGCAAAGGAGGGTAGACTGTTCTATAAGCAAACCAAACCCAACAATATTTACTGGTCTTGTATAACGATCATAACCAGTGTTTATTTGCTCTCATTCATAACAGGCCTGTGCCAAATATTTCAACTGCTTTAGTTCACACTCAGACCCGTGTGCTGGCTGGATAACACTGCTGGCAGCAGGGAAGGGGCTCTCGAGGGCAGGAGGCTGGAGGAGGGGAATTAGTAACAATAGGTCCAAAAGAGGAGAGGGTGGTGGTGAGGATGGAAGTTTAGGAGGCAAATTAGGGAGCTGTTGGAGAGAGTTGACAGAGCTGGATTGTGAGAGGGATGTGGGGCACTATAGGGAAACTGAAATGTGTTTCTTGTGATGGTTAAACATCTCTCCCATCCACCTTTGCGCCGTGTCCTGCATGGGTTTGCATTCTGAGTTCTATCATGCCATCACGTTGTAATATTGGGCGATGTCCAGCACGTCACTGAGTGCTTACCTAGCTTCCCCAGGCCTCAGTTTTCTCAACTACACAAATTTCTCACTGCCATGGAGTCGTTGCTGACTCACAGCAACCCTGTAGGACAGGGTAGCACTGCCCCTGTGAGTTTCTGAGACGGTAACTCTTTACGAGAGTAGGAAGTCTTGCCTTTCTATCAAGGAGTAGCTGGTGGTTTTGAACATCCGACCTTGCAGTTAGCAGCCCAATGGGTGACTACACCACCAGGGTTCCTCTTTCTTAACTCTATAAGGAGGGGATATCTTACTCTGCAGGGGAAGTGCAAGGATTAGAGGTAAATGAGAGTGCTGGACACATAGTGAGGCCTTTCATAGGTGAGGCGCAGTCTCATGACAGTGGACATTTCTTCTCGGATAATAACAGCAACACAGATGTTTCGCGTAATAGAAAATACGGCTCCAGAAAGTATAAGTGGAGCAGAACCAAATATTGCTAAGAAGAAGACGAGAACATAAATCTTGAGAGCCAACATTTTCTAACACTGTGTCATATTTTCGGGAAAGTTCTAGATGTGCCTGGGAGTGGGACCAGGCATCAGTTTTCACTAGATAGTTATACATGTACTTGGGCAGCCTTTGCATAATCGACGTGTCTGGTTTTCATTTCAGGACCCCAGGTCAAATTTGATCCAACAGTGGCTGTCAGAAGAGAATAATCTTGGCGTTGTTTCCAAAACTTTTCAATTGTCTTCCCACCCAATATTTGGTGACTGGTCCATTCAAGTTCAAGTGAATGTGAGTATCAGTATATTTTTGAAGGGATAATTTTAAAATGACTTCAGTAATTCAAGTGGGGACATATCTACAAAGTCATCTATTTAATGAATAGGAAAAATTAAAATGAACATCTAGATAATTTAAGTGCTTTATTTTCAATTTACTATAGGGTTAACTTTCATTATGATATATTAGTTTTAATTATTATCCTTTGATAACATAATGCTTGAAAGTTTATCCATTTTGTCATTAATTATTTTTTAAAGAAACAGAAACATTGCACATTTTGAGTATTTAAAAACTAAGTCATGAATATATAATGATTATATGGTTTCTCAGGATAGTGATTCTTTTTAAAATAAGTTTTATTAGAATATCATTCACATATCATACAATCTAATATTTCAATCATCTTAAGAAGAGTTGTGCAATTATCATCACCATCACTTTCAGAACCTTGTCTTGGTTCTTGTACTGGTTATTGCCAGCTACACATTTCCCCCTGACTTCTCCTGTCAGGCCTAGGTAATTATTAATCCAGTTACACTCTCTGTAGCTTTGTCCTCGATTCCATAAACAAGAAACAACTGCAACAATGTCACAACAAAGCAGGGAAAAAGCCCTCAATTGAAAAGAAAGCAGAAAATATTAAAAAACTGAGACAACTTTAAAATGGGTCAAAAGGGAGATCAAATGATAAGATGTTATATTTTGCCCTAACTGTTTCTGTCATAATTGACTTTACAATGCCCTCTGCCTGGGGAGCAAAGCTATGCACATCCCTCCAATCTGGCCAGAGGGCATTCACCAGAGAGACCCTGGAAATGGACTTGGCTTCCACTGCTGTCCAGAGCTCTCTAAGTCCACGTACCGTTCCTCCTTCAGCTCTGGGTTTTGTTATTTACAGTCCGTGGGCCACACAGGCCGGTGTGCTTCGTCCATGTGGACTTAGTTGAAGGATAATGACTCTTGATGAGAAATAGGACTAACATGATTTATTTATTGAAGATGAAGTTTTTCATTGTGAATCAGGTAGGGGATTCATTTTTCAGATAATAAACACTGGATTCGCTGGTTCATACCACTTATCCTGCTCCTTGAGACTAACATATTTTAATTTGTTGGTTTAATAAACAGTGACTTTAAGAGTCACATGGTCTTTTAATTTCCAATCTTTCCCCCCCAACTCCTCCACCTCCTCCCTTTATTTGCTGCCAGTGCAGGTAACTCTGAAGGCGAATAAAGGAGAATGTAAATGCCACATTTTCCTTTGAGCCCCAAGTTTTCTCCTGTGTACCTCATTTTCTTTGGAACTTATTAAGATTCATATAATTCACAAATAAGAACTTTAAAGTGGAGTTCTATTATAACAAGGCTTCTCTGACTGTTAACTATTTTGAGCTGAATAATTCTTTGTCATGGGTCTGTGCTGTGCAGTGTAGCATGTTTAGTAACATCCTACACTTTGGACTCTATCCATTGATGTGGGTAGTATCCATTACCTCCACCCTAACTGTAGCAACCTGAAATGTCCCTAGACATGGCCAAATATCCCTTGGGGGAAAATAGCGTTGACTCTTTGGTTGAAAACCAAGTATTAGAAGTATTAGTATTAGAAGGACTAACTTGTGAGCTTAAGTCCCTGGGAAGGTAAACGCGAGTCATATTTGTGAGCCTTGCATTTTTCCCTTGGGTAATCACAGCAGTCCTGAAAAATAGGTTTATTACCATCAATTCCTGGATGAGGGCCGTGAGAGCAGTTTCCATTGGGTTGCAGACTCTGAGAGAGAGAGAGAGAGAGAGAGAGAGAGAGAGTCCAGAACCAGCACCAGAGGCAGAAGGTGATAGAACAGTTGAGATTCACAGAAGATGGAACATTGAATTGGAAAGATTCATGGCATCTCTCATGTAGGGATTTGTGCACACGTCTCATATTACTGTAGTAAGGAGGAAAAATAAGATTGCAGTCAGGAAAAAAGTAGGATTGCTTTTAAGAGACTATCGGTGCTTAAATGCCATGTCCAGTGCTACCCTTACCCTTGAACTTCATGCTCTAGACATATTAGATAGTCTCACAATTTCTCACGCTCACCACTCTTATTCCAGAGCCTTCTCCCTGCTGTCTCCTCTGCCGGGAATGTTGCTCTGCCTACTCCAGCTAATTGTCTTTTCCCTCTTCCCAAATGTCCCCACGGCACTCCGTCCTTCCACTTGAGGTGCTCCTGGTGGTCCTTCACAGGCTGTAGTGTTTATCATGGAGACGGTGTGTGTGTGTGTGTGTGTGTGTGTGTGTCTGTGTGACCGTTTCGCATTGTTCATCCCTGGATCCCCAGGGCATATCATGGTGCTTTGCAGATTGGCATTAGTCCGCATTTATTAAATGAATGTGTGAAAGATGCACAACTCTCATGTGTCTTTAACTCAATATACTTTTACCCCTTGCCACATTCTGTAACGTATCTTTATCTTTTAGGGAAAAAAAAAGGAGTATCCTGACGAGTTTAGGTATTCTTGGGGAGATAAAGGGCCTTGGTGGTGCTGTGGGTTAAGTGCCAGGCTGTGAACTGCAACACGAGGCTGTCATTTCTCATAAGGAATTACTTTCACAGAAATCTTAAGGTTCAGTTCTGTTCTGCCCAAGGTCGTGTTGAGTAGGAATTGGCTTGATGACAGCAGGTTTCATTTGAAATGGGTAGCTGGGAAAGCCATTTTACATTAAGAAAACATGGATCCTTCAAGGTCCACCAGGGGTCAGTATAATCAAAGAAATGCTCTAAGGGACAACCCCGGACCAGACTCTTGTCTCTGGGTTTTGTCTTTCCTTGCCTCCTGTAAAGTATTAACAGGCCAATGATTGTTTATTATTAAACTGCTGCTCTTGCTGCGGGGAAACAGGACAGGGAGGGAAAGATGTTTATTCTTTAAACAGTCTGCCACTGCACACTGTCTTTTTATTTTCCTAAGTTAGTGACCATTCTTAGTGTAAACCTCTACTTTTAGAAGTCTGTTCTGAAATGCCATGTTTCTCTCTAGAAAGAATATAAAACCAATCTTGGTATCTGTGAAAGGCAGTTAAAATGCAACGCCTATCAGTGCTTTGAGTGGCAGTCCCCTGCAGTGGCATTTGTCAGTGACCTCCCTGCCAGGTCAGGGAGAACCATTCAGCTCCGTCATACTGGCCGGCCTCCAGGCCAGTTCAGCACCTGTAATGTGTTTGTGTGTAAAATAAGAAATCAATGAGCCATTTGTTATCCTTTCCGGATCACTTGCATTGCTTCTGGGCTTCATGCCTTACTTTTCACCATCAGAATTTTAAAAATGATTCTTTGTGAGCAACTAACTCGATCTAGTGAAATGTCTCTGTTTTTCTTAGTTCTCTCTCTTTCATTGTGCAGGACAGAGTGAGGGGCCAGAGGCGGTCGGTTTCCCCTATATTCAGACAACACGAATGTATTTTTTACCATGATAGTTTAATTTGATCGCAGGACAGCTCTGTATGATGACAATTTTACAGGACCTGTTAAAATTAGCAAACTTTAATAAGAACACTGACTTAAATTTTTTTTTTTTTTGTCACTATGTCTATATCCAGTCATGTGCATCAAAGGTGAATAACATTTGCTGCTTTGAGGCTTGCTTGCACTTCCTCTCTTGAGGAGCAGCACCAGGGAGTGCTCTCTCCCACACTTGGCCCACTTTTTGTCCACTGGTCTTTCTCAGCTTGCTGGAGCACCAGCCCTCTCACCACAGAGTACAGGTTCCTTTCTCAGTGTAATGGCTCTCCACCACATCTTTATGTTTCCCAGCCGTCATGGGCCAAGCGGAGAAACCCCCCTTCTACTGCTAATCAACTTACAAACAAACCCAGAGGAGAGAGCTTGTTTTGCAACGAAACATTCCTTGGGTTTTCAGTTTGGGGCAGTCTTTCTCTAGGTACCTTAGGTATTGATTTCTTGACTGATATTAATGATCATTCCCCAATGCTTGCAAGTGCTTTTTGCACCTGTGATTTTAAATTTGTCATCCAGGCTATGGGAAGGCAATTTTAGAGGTTCTTCTAAAGAAAGCTAATGTTGGCTTCTGAGAAGTGGGCTGCTGCCAACCAGGAGGCATCTGGCTCCACGGGCCCCTACCCTGCCCTTCTCAGTGTGGGCAGCCCGTGTCCCAGAGGCTCAGGCCATGGGGTGACCCAAGCATTAGGGTTCAGTTCTCTCTCAGAGCCCACGAGGATTCTGATTCCTGAGAGAGAGGCTCCTGTTCACTCCACAATCGCAGCCCTGTGTCCTCTTCCCCGTCAGGTGGAAGCCGCTCATGGCAGCTCGGTTTCCCACAAGAAAGTCCCTGCAGGTTCCCGTGTGGGCTGCACTCCGGCAGCTCCCCAACACTGGTGGTCAAAGAGCTTTTGGTAGTCCAACCCCCACCGCCACCCCCCGGAGAAACTCAGTCATTCTGACAGGGGGCCCAGGGATTGGCATTGTACATGAACACTGTGGAACTTGTGTTTGTTCTTGTGGATGGTATTTTGAGTTGCACTGGTAGACGCCCGCAGTCAGGCGTCGTGAACTGTTTTGTTCTATGGAGATGCAGTGTTGGCCTGTGAAGGAGCCACCTGATTTATTTTCTGAACTCTGCAGCAGGGCCTTTGAACTCCCCGGGCTATTGACTTCATCTCTCTAGGTGACTAGCTTGTTGGAACTTTTTGGATCTGTCTTGGACTTACTAAATAAATGGACTGACTTGCTAGAATTTGGAGGACAGTCTGTATTTTTGCAGCCGATTCTCTGGTGATTCAGATGTACAGCCAGACTGGGAGCCACTGACCTGGATCATGTTCGTCGTCTGTTCTCGCTTGAACAGACCGCAGTTTCTCTGCCCTGCTCTCAGTCTTCAGCCAAGGGGACAAGAAACCGAATGTAGAAAATCCCACATGCTTAAAGCTTGAAATCACTTTTTTTTGGAGCCCTGTACCATATAGGGTGGGTGTCAAATTACTATGTAATTCAGCCACCATCTGTGGT